CTTATCCCTGTAATTTCTTTTTTAAATATATTTTTATTGATTTCAGAGAGGAAGGGAGATGGAGAGAGAGAGAACCATCAGTGACAAGAAAGAATCATGGATTGGCTGCCTCCTGCACGCCCCACACTGGGGGTCCAGCCTGCAACCCCCTGCAGGTGCCCTGACCGGGAATCGAACCAAGACCTCCTGGTTCACAGTCCAACACTCAACCACCACCAAGCCACACCAGCCGGGCTCTCTTTGCATTTTATAACTCAGCACTTTTTATTACTAAGGTTGACCTTGACACTGTCCGTGACTCGAAGGACGCTGCTTGTGTTTCCTCTGGAGGTGACAACCAGGGCACACCAGCCCCTTCCAAGGCTCTGCCCACCCCACCCCACCCCCCGTTTTTGTTTTGTTTTGTTTTTTTTGGGGGGGGGGAGGCGGGGGATGGCAGGATGACTGGAGGCCTGTCACCTCCCCCTGATTCACTTCACAAGGAAAACCCAGGGAGAAATCCTAAGTTTAGAGGGAAAATCTCATCATGACATCACTACCGCCCGAGCAGCTGACCTCAATAGTGGAGCCCAAGACGCTGAAAAACCTAAAGTTTAACAGGTTGAGTTCAACCATCACATTAGGAAGGAAGTGGGTCCCCAGGATACCATTTGGGGTACACTTTCAACTAACAGAAATGAGAATCTGAATGTGGGGAAGGATCAGGGTAGCCTACTTCTCTGTTCTCTTATTATTCAGAAAGCCTGGGCGAACCTTGTCATCACAAACAAATACCACCTGGGAGACTAACTCCCATTTCCAGGAGAGTTTTAATGGAAAGGTTTTATGCAGGTGACGTTTGCCTCCTTGTATGGAGACTCGTCTCACTAACACAGGCTCTGAGACTACCAATCCACGAGTAATCTGTTCAAATTGAATAAAGCCTATTCGGCCCTAGCCCCATGGTCGGCAAACTGCGGCCCTTGAGTGTGGCTCTTCTACAAAATACCACGGCCTGGGCGAGTCTATGTTGAAGAAGTGGCATTAGCAGAAGTTTAAGTTTAAAAAATTTGGCTCTCAAAAGAAATTTCAATCGTTGACCTGTTGATATTTGGTTCTGTGGACTAATGAGTTTGCCGACCACTGCCCTAGCTGGTTTTGCTCAGTGGTTAGAGCTTAGGCCTGCAGACTGAAAGGTCCTAGGTTCGATTCTGGTCAAGGGCATTATCTTGGTTGTGGGCACATCCCCAGTAGGGGGTGTGCAGGAGGAGGCAGCTGATGAATGTTTCTCTCTCATCGAAGTTTCTAACTATCTATCCCCCTCCCTTCCTCTCTGTAAAAAAATCAATAAAATATATTTTTTAAAAGACATTAAATAAAACCGGTTTCAGCCAAGCCATGAAGTTTTAATCGCACTGTATGTGCATGCCCACACGTGGTATTCTGTGGAAGAGCCACACTCAAGGGGCCAAAGAGCCGCATGTGGCTCGCAAGCCATAGTTTGCCGACCACTGGCCTATGTCTTCATCATAGCACAAGCAAGAAGCCACTCCCTCCAACCTTGCCAAACACACACACAACCAAAGTCCAGATCCTGTTGGAGAGGGCAGGTCTGTGTCTTATTTCAGTGGAGGTGGGGGAGGCTAAAGGTTTATTATACCAAGCTCTTTAAAAACAAACAAACAAAAAAACCTTTTTTATTGATTTTCCACAGAGAGGAAGAGAGAGGGATAAAGAGCTAGAAATGTGGATGAGAGAGAAACATTGAACAGCTGCCTCCTGCACACTCCCTACCGGGGATGTGCCCGCAACCAACGTACATGCCCTTGACCAGAATCGAACCTGGGACCTTTCAGTCCACAGATTGACACTCTATCCACTGAGCCAAACCAATTTCGGCTACACCAAACCCTTAAGATAAATCTACCTACAGTTTGTAAACAAACACCGTACGCATGTGCATAAAAGGCTCTGAGGTTAGAACAGGTGCAAACACTTAGGCTCCGTCTCCACACCGGCATCTCACTGCTCCTGTTTCTCTCAGCTCCACCTGCCAGCATGGATTTCAAGACTTACATGTTTTCCATCTTTAGAGTCAGCTGGATGAGAGCAAAGCAACAATAGTGTTTTTTACATGCACAGACAGGCTGACACAGTACAAATAAAGCTTCTCTTCTAAATTTCTCCCTCCCTACTACCATCGTTAAGAAGAAACAGGATGAAAAAGAAGCGGTGAGGCCACAGGTAGTTGCAAACATAGGTGACTCGTAAGATCATAAATGCAACCGTTAGCGGACCACACCTTTGACACATTTCATACCTTTGCAGGCACCAGGGAAAGGTGTTCGCCCGCAGGGGTCCCCCGAGGCACTCTGTGATGGAACTGCCCACAGGGGTGGCCTGCTGGCCCCTGGACGCTGGGGACCTCCAGGCGCTGCAGGAGTCTGATGCCAGAGAAGCCACCTGTGCCCCAGGAGTCTTCAGACAGACAGAACCACACTGTGACCCGCATGCAGGCTCCTTCTTCTTATAGAGCCACTCCAGTGCCCTCTGCTGAGAAAGCCGGATATCCGGCTGGTCCGGGCAGAGGGGAACTATTTAAAGGAGCCCATCGTGTTTTCACAGGGCAGCCAAAAAGGGTGCACGTGGAGCTGAGAGGCAGTAAGCTGGTAACGAGCACAGGTGTGTTTGCACAAAACCTCATACACGTATACAGGAGACGTGTATTTCCATCATTCCGTTATTTCCATCATTCGGTGCCCATTCTATTTGCATCCTGTCAATGATTTTAATTCATTGTGACGGCCAGGATTTTATTTTTTTTTCCTTCTAATTTATGAATGCCAGGGCTCGCCAGAAACTTCCACTGTTTGTTCTCAGGACATACTTGCTAAGCGTGAAAGTGCAAACAGTCCGGCACACTAGCTCAGGAGCTGAACAGACAGGCTCCGGAGCCGGTAGCTTATGTTTGAATGCGATTCTGCCACTGACTGGCTGTGTGGCCTTGAGCAATGATCTCATCTTGCCCAGGCCTCGGTTTCCTCATCTGTATAATGGGAACACCGGTACTCAACTTACTGTGCCTATTAAATAAATTCACATGGAAACATCTCACTTATTAGCAGTAATCCGTTTCTGGGAAAAATCACATTTCTGCAGGGAAACCTGGAGCCTGTTGTTATTTTTTTAAAAAGAAAAATGTGAATATGTAACAAATAAACCAACCTTACCCCCTCCCTCCCACCAAGCAATTTCCTAAAATGTAACTAAACAGAGTAAGTCTCTCGACATAAACCACCATACTACGTTGGCAAATGCTCAAAACATGACTGGGGATCACCAAATAATATTAACAAATGGTGTTTCCTATGCATGACCCTTTCCTCTTTTCAGTAGTCACTCTTTTTAAAAAATATATATATTGTATTGATTTTTTACAGAAAGGAAGGGAGAGTTAGAGAGATAGTTAGAAACATCCATGAAAGAGAAATATCGACCAGCTGCCTCCTGCACACCCCCCACTGGGAATGTGTCGGCAACCAAGGTACATGTCCTTGACCAGAATCGAACCTGGGACCTTTCAGTCCGCAGGCCGATGCTCTATCCACTGAGCCAAACCGATTTTGGCATTAGTAGTCACTCTTCTCTCTCCCTTTGCTGCTCCTCTGAATTGTTCTCCAATGCTTTCCCGATATGGGTGTGAACTCTGTAACACCAGGCAAAAACAAGGGCTACATGGGAAAGTCAGCAGGATGCAAGTTCAAGGCCAACATGCCATGGCAGGAAAGGCTTACACTGAGCAGCATGGCTGTTGGGCACCCGCCATGTCCTCCTCGGCCCACTCCTGAGCTGCACCCTTTTTTGCTGCCAACAGTTCCACTTTTCAGAAGGTTTAGGCTGGGATTGGATCGGGTGCCAATTGCATCTGGAATGAAACTTTTTTCCGGCACACGGTTTTGTTTGCAAATGCATGGAGCGTGGGGGATGTACGTGTGTGTTTCTCATGTAATCAACTGGAATGTGTCCACTTGAGAAGTTCCACTCCTTTAGAAAAGTGTGGATATTAAAACCAAGAAACTCTCTTGCCGAAACCAGTGTGGCTCAGTGGATAGAGCATCGGCCTGTGGAATGAAAGGTCCCAGGTTTGATTCTGGTCAAGGGCATGGACCTTGCTTGCGGGCACATTCCCAGTAGGGGGCGTGCAAGAGGCAGCTGATGGATGTTTCTCTCTCATCAATGTTTCTAAATATAATATCTATCCCTCTCCCTTTCTGTAAAAAATCAATAAAATTTATAAAAAAAAAAAAGAAACTTCGATGTTTCTAACACTCTATCCCTCTCTCTTCCTCTCTGTAAAAAAAATCAATAAAAAATACATTAAAAAAGAAAAAAGAAACTCTCTACCGGTTAAACTGAAAGCTTAGTCTTTAGAACAAGACTGGCTTATTTAAAACACGATGCAAGGGTTTGTTATCCTATCCCTCTGGCTCATTAACCTTACCAATAAATGTATTCTGTCCTTCACTCTTTCATTCTAACCTTTCTTCCTTCCAAAAATAGTTTGGAGGCCCCTAATCCAGGCCAGGCCCCATTGCTGGCCACGGGGATAAACTGGTAATTGAGATATGGCCCCTACTCTCAAGGAGCCAACAATTTTAGGAGGGAAATTAGGGCTTGGTGGTGGCAGCTGCTTGGAGGGAGCTTGAGGCTGCCAACAGCAGGTGACTAGCTCACCTTAGGGAGAAGCTGGTCCGGAGGGAGAAAGGAGAAGCACCCCGTGGAGGATCTGCACTGGGCAGTCGGACGCGGAGCAGAAAAGTGAAACGGAATCCCCTTACCACGAGGGACGAGGGGAGAAAGCGAGATTCTATTATCCGTTTTTGCAATTGGAAGCCAGACCTTTCTCTGCCACCCAAGCCTGAGGCAGCTGCCCCGACCTCCTGGCTGGTTGGCCCCGCCCCGGAACCTTTGTCGCCGGAACTCGAGGCCCACGTTCCTCGCGTTTCCCCACCGGGTGCAGCTCCGGTGCGACACTTCCGGTGAGGAAAACCAACATGGCGGCGGCCGTACGGGACTCACGTGGGAGTGCGGGGAAGAAGCTGAAAAATGCCCTCAAGAGGAAGAAGAAGATGAAAATGCTGGCCAAGGCGGCGGCATCGGAGCCGGAAGAGGAGGACCGAGACGCTGCCGACGTGGGAGGTAACGTGCCGCACGGCCGATCGGAGGAAAGGCCGCGCCGAGTTTGCGGGGAGCCGGGGGTTCGGTGCCTCTGCCCCGAGCCGCCCGAGCTTCATCGCCGCGTGGCATCCTGTAAACTGCTGGTTTCTTCTGCCCGGGATGGCGGTGATGGCTTTTACAATAGCAGTTCCCACGTTCATGCAGAGCATTGGCTTCGATCGGGATGGGTTTGGTTCTGCACGCAGTGACCCTGCCTCTCTGCAATTGGGCGGGTTTGCGGAATCTGACTTCTTTGGCCTCCTCCCTTCTCCTGTCGTTCAAATCCTTGCTCTGCCCTTTAAAAAAAAAAATAAAAAAATTTGCGTGTCAGCTTTGTAGAAGATACCCCCAAACAGAGTCAGAGTCAGTCAGCCTCTCTCTCTCTCTCTCTCTCCATATATATATATATATATATATATATATATATATATATATATATATATATATATATATAATTGATTTTTTTACAGAGAGGAAGGGAGAGGGATAGAAAGTTAGAAACATTGATCAGCTGCCTCCTGCACACCTCCCACTGGGGATGTGCCCGCAACCAAGGTACATGCCCTTGACCGGAATTGAACCTGGGACTCTTCAGGCAGCAGACTGATGCTCTATCCACTGAGCCAAACCGGTCAGGGCAGTCACTCTTTTTTCATTGTCTGCCTTTTAAAAGAACATGTCACACATTTTTGCCTTTGGTTAACCTATCGTATTTCCCCTCCAAGGCGTGTGATTCCTTTAGGGAGAGAAACTTAGATGGAGAGTTTTTCTGTTTCCCCTTCCCCCCTCATTCTCCTCGAGTATTCAGCACATAATATTGAGGGGCTGGGAGGCTGCTGAAAACTTGGGCCCCGTTCCAGAGGCTAAGGCCAGTGGCGCTCACATCCCCCCCCCCCTGCCCTGTGGGCATATCTGGGCATCTGGCCATATCTGGGGATCAGGGACAGATGGCGAGTTTGGAAGGGAGTTGGAAGTTTGGGGGAAAGGCAGAGGAGATGAGAAATGCCAGTGTTTTATTGCCCTGCCCTACATGCTAGCCACTAATTAAAATGAAATAAAATGTAAAACTCCAGGTTTGAAGCCCGCAGGAGGCTTTCATGGCTGGTGAATGCAGGAAAGTCTGCTTGGAACCCTTGGTTATTGCTCTCGAGGGCCCCGAATTTTGAAAAACCCAACCAAAGTGTGCAGGACGGTCAGGCCCATGGGCGATCGCCTCTCCCTGTGATTCTCATAGCGTTCTCCGGTCCTTCCTTATTTTCAGTTTTAAAATAGATTTCAAGGTTAGAGTTAATGTTTAAAATAACATACAGGACTTCAGAGGAATTTTTTGGCGTATCTGGTTCCCTGAGACCCATGGATATATCCATTTACCTTCTGCTATTAAAGATCACTTATTTGAGGGGGTGGAAGTGACTGGGGAGAGGTCAGTGTGTGTGTGTGTGGGGAGGGGGGGTGATATATGTAATACTTTAAACAATAAAGAATTTTTGAAAAATAAAGATCAGTTAGCTGAAAATTTTAAAAAGTCACATCTGTATGTGATGCAGTATATTTTTAAGAACCAGTTGTGCTTTCTGATCTGCATAGTGATTATCTTTGATGTCCTAGGAGTAGGCCCTGTGTTTTAGTAGCTGGAAGACCTCATTGCGTTGGCATTTTTCATTTACTTCTATAAAAATCAACATGCCCCTCGGCAGTGAGTGCCTGGCTTAAATCTTCTGAGCTTACAGCTGCTTTTTAAAAAGTAATAAAATGAAAAAAACTATGACACCAGTGACTTCTTCTGGATTTTTTTTTTTTAATTGGGGTGAGTGCTGGTTTATACTGTAAAATGGTGTTAGAAAACTTTTCACAGGTTTATCGTGTTCCCATATGTGAGTGTTAGGATAGTCAAGCTGGGGAAGAAACACACCAAAGAAAATAGTCAATTTAGAAGGGGAGAGTCGGAGTGGCTTACACAATCACAAAGCCTTTGGCTGCCTTGACATTGCAGCTGAAAAAACGTGAGACTTGCTGTGAGATTTGTGAGAGAATTCATCAGGACAAAACACTAGATGTCAGTGTTGTAGTTTTGATGTTTTATCAGGAGGAGCTGATCAAGATTTCTGCTTCTCATCACCCGGTATTCTTCACTGATAAACGTTTAAGCCATCGTGTTCCTTACATTCAGATAAATGCTTACTATGTTTTTATTGGCTGTTTTCTAATGTGTTACACATTTTTTGAACTATATTTAAATATTTAGTTTTTATGAATCCTTTTCATTTCATGAATTCTCAGCACTTCAAAAATAAAGTTATTGTGCAAAAGTAATACCAGCATTAGGAGTATTATAATGACCAGCTAAAAGGTCAAGTCTTTCCATCATCTCTCTTTTAAACAAATTTTAATTGAGTTTATTGGGGTGACATTGGTTAATAAAATTATACAGATTTCAGATGTACAATTCTATAATACATCATTTTGTGTGTTGTATTGTGTGTTCCCTACCCCAGGTCTCCCATCCCCATTGATTCCCCCTGCTGTGGTCTGTGTCTGTGAGTTTTATGTTTTTGTTCTTTCTGGGTCTGCCTAGTTTTTAGGTCTTAATCCCTTCATCTTTTTCACTCAGGCCCACAACCCTCCTCCCCTCTGACAGCTGTCAGTCTGTTTTCTATCTATGAGTGTTTCTGTTTTGTTTGATAGTTTATTTTGTTCATTAGATTCCACATGCAAATGGGTACGGCTACTGTGGAAAGCAGTATGGAGTTACCTCAAAAAATTAAAAATGGAGCTGCCATCAATTCTATTTCTGGGATTGGATTTTTTTTTAGGGGGGGAGGGTTTGTTTGTTTGTTTGTTTTTTGCTGCCTGGGGCCTGGGGCCTGTGATCCTACAGCCTCCCTGTCAGCAGAGCTCAGCCAGATCCTCAGAGGCTGGCAGCCAGGGGGGAGGGTCCCACTGTCCCTCTGTCCCTGCAGCTGTGATCCTGTCACTGTCCCAGAGAATGGGGACGGATGGAGAACATCACAGGGCCACCTCTGCCTCCGGCATCAGAGTCTACTCTGTTTCTTCTCGTAGGTTCTACCAGAAGGTGTGCATCACAGAAGGCTCACTTCTCTTCCGATGACGAAGCAGCGGAGGCTGACAACGAAGATGAGCTTGAACCCTGTGACGATAACAGTGAAAATGCGGCGGGAGCCGCTGCGGGGACCAGCTCGGGCTGGGCCGACGCCATGGCTAAAATCCTGAACAAGAAAACCCCTAAGAGCAAACCCACCATCCTGGTCAAAAACAAGGAGCTGGAAAAGGAAAAGGAGAAGTTAAAGCAGGAGAGACTGGAGAAGAGAAAGCAGGTATGTCTGTCCGGCTGCTCTGTAGATTAGATTGTGTGTCTACCTGGTGCTTAGGCCTTATCTGTGCCGCCTTCTCCCTGCACTGTTTGTTCAATTAACATTCCAGCGTTGGACTTTTTGTGTGTGGGGGTGGATAACCAAGGTTCTGTTTATAATCCTCATCTAAGCTACTCTGTGGAGTATGTTTACTTTTTAATCACCTGGAAAGCAATAGAGATATAAACTCCAGGGAAGTTTATCTTTCTACAGTCAAGTAATCACCCATGTGGCTATGACCCCTGTTTTTTTATTCCATTTAGCTGTCCATTAGGTGCGGGACTAATCTTCCTATAATCATCCTATTAGTTGCTTTTTGCCAAAACCTATTTTATAATAAAGATCCGTGATGTCCCTGTTAGATTATTTTATCGGGGGGGGGGGGGGTGTCCTTATTTCCGGACCCTCTTCTGCTTCTGCGTGATGGGAAAGAATCCGTGTGCTGTGATTTGCGACCAGGTTGCCATATGTGGCAAGAACGGTGGTCAGATGTGCCCTGAAAGAGGTGAATTTCAATGCTTCGTGAAAAGGCAAACAGCTGCCATGTGAATAGGCTACATCTGGAGATGATGCTGTCCGTTTAAAAGCTGATGAAAAGCCTTCATCTTTCTGTCTACTGAAAAGCCACAGTGTTTAACCTGTGGCTACAGGGGGCGGGGGCTGGGGTCTGATCTGTGACGGCGGATCAGGACTGCGGTTTCCACACCTGCCTGGTCCCAGGCTCCGTGAGCTGGCGGCCCTCCAGGCCCCTCTGGCCACCCGGTGCCTCTCACATGTCACACCAGTGCTAACCACAGGCTCCCCGTGCGGAACCCTTAAAGTGCCGGTGTTTTTAAGTAAAGTGCTGCCCTTTCCAAAGTGCCTCATGTTCTCTCGTAACCTTGTCCGTCCCGCAGCTCGATAAGAAGCGGGAGTGGGAGATGATGTGCAGGGTCAAGCCAGATGTGGTCACAGACAAAGACACCGAGAGGAACCTGCAGAGGATCGCCACGAGGTGAGGCAGAGGGGGGCCCCCTGAGTCCTCAGCACCCCGCCGTTCCCACTCCAGGGGCCGCGGGGCAGCCAGCCTGCCTGCCCTGAGTTCAACCATAGGCCGAGGGTCTCTCGGGAAGGAGTACAGTGTGCCAAGTGTACGTTCGGCACAACCCTACTTCACATCGTCTTGTTTTTTATAGTCGTGAGAACTGTCATCAGAATCCTCACTTAGCTAAAGTGTCTAAATTTATGGCACTCTCGATTTTTGTTATCTTGCATTACATTTATGGCATGGTGAGTTTCACATTATAGCAGCTTCATGCTTTCCTTTTATTCTGTAAATATATATATATTGTGTATATATATATATACACAATATATATATATATATATATTTATTTATTTATTTATTTATTAACAGAGAGGAAGGGAGAGGGAGAGTTAGAAACATCGATGAGAGAGAATCATCAATCAGCTGCCTCTTGCACACCCCCTACTGGGGATGTGCCCACAACCAAGGTATGTGCCCTGGACCGGAATCGAGCCCAAGACCCTTCAGTCCGCAGGCTGACGCTCTATCCACTGAACCAAACCGGTTTTGGCAGCCTCTTTAGTTTTATGTCCTTGGGCACCTCACGTTCTTCACCTTGGTCCCTGCCCTGCTGTGAAGGGATGGGATTTTGCCCTGTTTACAGCCTAAACTCGCCTGTTAGTTTCTTGGAAGCTGACAGGAGGCAAAAGCATTCTGGGTCAGAGACATGGGACTCCATTACTCACAGGTGGTAGCCCAGCGTCTCCTTCCCACTAGCTGCCCCTGGCCCCAGGGCTGGCACAGGTGCCCTCGGCGGTTCATGTTACAGGAGGGGAATGCGGTGCGGGGAAGCCATTGCTTTTACGGTGAACGGGAACAAGCCTGCTCTTTGTCTGGGGGAGACGTTACCTCATTTCTCAAGGTTTCGTGCTGCAAACACAACCCTGAGAAGTGTTCTGGGTAAAGAGCAATTAGGGCCCGGATTCCTGAAAAACCCAGCACAAGCCTGCAGGATGGTCAGGTCCGGGGCGGACCACCTCTCCCTGGGATTCTCTGAGCAGGAAATGAGCAGGTTATAGGATCTTAGAGCCGGGAGGGATGTTAATGGTCTAAATCAGTGCTGCCCGGTGCAAACGGAATGGGAGCCACACACGTAATGTAGATTTGTCCGAATGAGTAAAAGAGGTGAAATTAAGTTCAATAACATGTTGATTTTACCCAGCACCTTCTAATGATTACTAATGCAACTTGTTATCAAAACAAAACAATTATTAATGAGATTCTAAAATGCTTTTTCATACCAAGTCTTCGAATATTTTTTAAAATTGGATTTTAAAATTAGTTTTATATCCTGAGAATTGCAAATCATGTAGCAAGACTCAGGACGTCTGCTCCTGCTCGCTGCAGAGCCCCAGCTGTATATAATCCCTCTCCGAGAAATAGGTGCAAGTGTTAAAAGTAATTCTTAGTTCTGATCGCATAAACGTTGATAGAGAAAGACCAGAGCCGAAACAAAACAGATCACACATCCATCCACGTATATTCATCCTGTGAATGCGTTCATAGACTTCCATTCATTCATTGAAATCCACGATCACTTTCCAGAAGTATCTAACCAGTCAGCTGTTTTCATTTGCTTGCCTACTCAAAGCTTGCCTCTCTCCTAAGCAGAGAAAACACACTGTTTCTATCCTCGGAGCTTGTAATCTAGGTCAGCAGTCGCCAACCGGTGATCTTGGACCACTGAGATCTGAGAGTTTGGCAGCCGCTGGTCTAGAATAATCGCTCTTAACTACCTTGTTCTGCTGGCGTGGTCCCTAGGGGTGTGGTGCAGTTGTTTAACGCCGTCCAGAAGCATCAGAAGAACGTGGACGAGAAGGTGAAGGAAGCCGGAAGCTCCATCAGGAAGCGTGCGAAGTTGATGTCAACCGTTTCCAAGAAAGACTTCATCAGCGTTCTGCGGGGCCTGGACGGAAGTGCCAGCGAGAAAGCTTCGACCGGAAAGAGCTCGCAGGCCAAACAGGTGAGGCTTTTATACAAAGTTCAGGGCCTCAGGCTCTCAGCTTTCACACTGGACGTTTTCCAGAGAAGAACCCTACCATCTGCTGCCAGCCTTCTCGAAGCAGATTGTAGGGACTGTGGGGCCCCAGCGTTCAGCCCAGAGATTCCTCGAAGGAGCCCGAATTTATTGGCTGCAGATAGGAAAGCACTGACTCTGTGTTACGTCTCAGATTACAGGCAGTGTGCAAGGTTTTCATTGATTTGAACTGGCCAGCACGTCGCTGTCAGCTTCTGTTTTGTCAGGAAACCACGCTGGGAGCTTCACAGGACAGGAAAGTGCTAGTAGTTTCTGTTGGGAAGAGTTTCTTCAGTGATTGATTGATTGCTTTCTTTTTCTCTTTTAATATATTTTATTGATTTTGTACAGAGAGGAAGGGAGAGAGATAGTTAAAAACATCGATGAGAGAGAGTCATCGATCAGCTGCCTCTTGCACACCCCCTACCGGGGATATGCCCGCAACCAAGGTACATGCCCTTGACCGGAATCGAACCCGGGGACCTTCCAGTCTCCAAGCCGACGCTCTATCCATTGAGTCAAACCGGTTTCGGTAAAAATCTCTCAGTTAAAACAGGTACTGGGAGAGGCCAGGTATTCATTTATTTTCCCGCTTTTGTGAAAACTGTTGAGCAGAAGCGAGTTCAGGGGCTCTGTCCGCATACGTTTCTCATACATGGCAGCCAGGTGCCCCGTCAGCTGCTCTCAATGGTAGGGATGCTGTGACCTGCGGGCTCCTTGGTATCTCAGTAACGAGAGCTCGGCTCCAGTTGCCATCTGCTTTTAAAATGGTCACCCCTCTGCTCCATGGCCTGGCGCTAGGAGTGGAGGGGCGCCTCAGGGTGATCCCAAGGTGGTCCCATTAGTTGTGGGTCTTCCTCTTCACAGGATGAGGGTGGGGGTGTGGAAGGCATGGAGCGGGGCAGAGAGGCAGCGGGCAGAGTGATGCTGTCCTCAGGTTGCCCCTGCCTCGCATGCCAACTGCTGCTGCCTTCACATAAAGCTGCTCTCGCAGGAATGCGAGGAATCCCAACTTTGTAAATAATTCAGCTTCATGTTTGTTTACTGCTCATGCCTAAATAGATTAGAGTTTAGACAAAAGGGAGACTCCGAGTTCGCGGTGAGAGAGAGCATTGCATTCTGTCTATGGGAACGCGAGAAAGCCAGTTTCCCATTGTGGTGGCCTTCGAGGCATGCTGGTTACCATAGCCGCTTCTGGGCGGTGTCGTCTGGTGTGAGTGGTGTGAACCTGTGGGGCAGGGTGGGACCTGCAGCATTTGGCTCAGGGTGTGGGTAGAGGGAGGACTTAGAACCATCCCAGAGCGCCGTAGAGACTCGTAGTGACCGTTAGAATAACGGTAATGGTGTGCGTGCACCTGCCGACCCTCTCTGAGGCATTGTTCTCTCTGCAAAATAGCTGCCCACAGAGAAATTTCATCAGTGTGGTGGAAGCCCTTTAAAAATGTGACTGTCCACGTGTTTGCACGTGGGATGCATTTTTTAAAATACAATTTTTGTACTGATTTCGGAGAGGGAGGCAGAGGGAGAGAAGGATAGAAACATCAACGACCAGGATCACTGATCGGCTGCCTCCTGCACGCCCCCTAATGGGATGGAGCCCTCAATTGGACATGTACCCTGACCGGGAATCGAACCGTGACCTCCTGGTTCATAGCTACTGAGCCGTGCTGGTCAGGCTGTGGTGCACGTTTAAAATTGAAAGGAGTATTTTACTGCTGATTGCTCAAAAGAATACTAATTTTGAGGTGTGGGCAGTGGAGAATGTTGATGGGCTTGTGCCATGCATTGTACACAGTGGCACAGGCCCCGGGCTCTAGAACCAGGCGGCCTGGGTGCAGGCACCTTACCTGCCCTTTGGGTCACTCACCCTCATTGGCCTCCTACCCATTTTCAGGTCATCACTCTAGTCTAGGGGTGTCGAACTCAATCAGACAAGGGGCCAAAATCTAAAATCCAGCCTAAATCGCGGGCCGAATGGTTTACTGAACAGTCATAAACTGTCATTGTGATGGAAACGCAGCGGAGTGCAGTGATGACAGCGCGGTGCGGGCCACATTGCAAGGCCTGGCGGGACGGATTTGGCCCGCGGGCCTTGTGTTTGACACATGTGCTCTAGTGGTACAGCCACCTCAGAGACACTGTGAGGGCCCCGGAAGTGAGCCATGCTCAGCACACAGCAAACACGTGTCCCGAGTATGAGTTCTTTACATGTCGTTCTGATCTTTCCTAATAGATGGTAGTCGGAGATGAAGCTGGGATGGGAATCAATGTGAAAGAGAGCTGACTGCTTCTGATGACCGGCTTACCCCAGAATTCTCTAATTTAATACCTCGTGTTTAGATTTGGAACTTCTCTCGTGTTAGGTGTGTTTGGTCTGGTAATATATAATTCTCACAAAATATAAAACTATATCTGGGGGGGCCTAGAGCCCTCCCCATTTCAAGCAAGGGGTGAGCTAATGAGGACTTAGAAGATTTTACTCGCCCAGGAGAGGGGCTTCTCGGTGGCGGTGTGTGCTGTCTGTGTTCCCATCTTTGCAAATAGTCCAGATAAAAGGTCCTCCCGGACCCTCATGTCACAGGCAGAATTTTCAAATGGGTGTCAGTCGTCGTCAGGGAGATTACTAACAGTTGCAAAGAGCTTACCCTATAAGACTGCAACAAGGAAGGTATTCAGATACATTTAGCCAGAGTGCCGAACCTTTTTAAGTTTAGGTGGAGCTAAATTAAAATAAAAGTGCAACATCCTTGGTGAAAGTCAAGAAATCGAGTATTGCTGATTGCGAAGTGCAGCTGGATTATGCTGTTTATTGTTTCAGGATTCGGTTTTGATTTTCCCCTTCAGAACCGGCGTGTGGTTAAGCTCTGCATCTTTCGGTGTCAGACCAGTGAGGAGTCCCCGAGCCTCGGCTCCCGTCTTCTGGGTGGAATCTGCCCGCGGGTGTGTGAACCTTGCAGTGGAAGCTGATTAACACTTCTCAGCGTTGTCTTCGTCTCCCAGATCCACAGACGCTTCTGTGTGATCTCGGTGACATATTTGTAGAGAGGAGGGCGGGGCGGGGGGAATATTTGGTTTCCCTGCCTCATGTGGCTTTGCATCTAATCAGCCTCACCGATCAGCTGCCGTGGGCACGGGGCGTGGCCCTGCAGGCTGCCCCCTACAGTTGGCTGTGTCTTACTGGGGCCCAGCAGCTGAGCTCTGCCCAGGTTTCCGGCTCAGCAGGAAGGGAGCCCGGGAGGACGGATTCCTGCTAAGTGATGAGGGTGCCCTTGTCTGGCCTGGGGACCGCACTGGGGGAGCAAGTGATGCGGCGAACACCTCCAGGAGCCCGGCTTCACTGTCACTCTTCCTTCTGGCTGGCCAGGCCCGGGGGCTTGACCTGACCCTGCTGTGGCCCTTCCTGCCTGCCATATCCGGGTACACTATCATTGTCTTTCTAGACAAGGAACGTCAGACAATTGATCTTGACATTTCCATTAAGGCCCACTGATGTTCCTCCCTCTCTCTCTCTCTCTCTCTCTCTCTCTCTCTCAACTGTTGTAGTGCCCACCCTCTTATTCATGGCTTCACTTCCCATGGTTTTAGTAATCACCCAGGGTAACGGGAGCCCCAAGATATTAACTGGGAAAATTCACGCCCCTTTATCTCATCACGTGGGCCTTGTGCCCTATCCCGTCAAGAAGAGGGTGCATACAGGACAATGGCATGTTGAGAGAGAGCACATTCACGTGGCTTCCGTCCCAGTGCACGGTTACGATGGTTCTGTTTCATTATTAGTTGTTAACCTTTGATCTCTTTCTATGGCAAATTTATAAATTGCACTCGGTCGTGGATAGGCATAGAAATGGTTTGTCCGGCACTGTGTGTTTCTGTGGATGGAATAACTAGGAAAGCCTCGACTCTTAGCTCCATGAAGACGGGGGCTTTGTTTTGAACCCAGCCTAGACACAGACTCGGCTCTCTCAGTATTTGTGTGAGTTAGGGAAAGAAATCCCAGAGCCTTGAGTTCTGCAGAGACTGTCTCAGTTACTACCACACGGTGGCGCTGTTGTACCACGAAAGGAGAGGCCGTCTTCGGCTCAGCTATGTCTAGTTTTACATAAATCCTAGGAAGAAACAAATCAAATGGACTACCTCTGCTTATTGCCTGCTCACTTATTTGTCATTTTAGCACGTGACTAGGCCTTTTTATTACATGAGTAGGTCAGACAATGAGATCATAACCCAAATAAAGACCATTTGTTTCTCATTTTTACCAACTATTAAATGAGATAGAATCTGTGAAAACCTAGCTCAGTTAGTTTCCTTTTCTCTCCTTTTTACTTTGGCTTAAAAGTCTCTGTTACACTTCTATTAGTCTAAATAATTTGCCTGAAGTCTTCTAATAATCAGTGAACTTGAAATAATATTATAAGATTATTTTTGTCAAAAGATTTTAAAAATTGATATTATATCTGGGATTATCATCACCCCAACTTTGTTGTTCTTTTTCAAGATTGTTGCAGCTATTTAAGGATTTTTATTTATTTATTTATTTATTTATTTATTTATTTTGTTCCATATAAATTTTTGGAGTGTTTTTTCCAGATCTGTGAAATAGGCCATTGGTATTTTAATGGGGATTGCATTGAATCTATAGATTGCTTTGGGTAGTATAGACATTTTGATGTTGATCCTAATAGCTATTTGGTAGAGTCTTTAGGGTTTCCTATGTCCTATATCGTGTTATTTGCGAATAATGACAGTTTTGAGATAGCTTTTATGCACCTAACTAGATACTTCTGCAAAGGGGACATATAGATGGCCCAAAGACATACAAAAAAAATGTTCAAAGTCACTGATCATCAGAGGGATTAAAACGACAATCAGGTTTCACCTACACCTGTAAGAACAGCTCCCATCAACAAAGGACAGTGCTGGCGAGGATGTGGAACCCTCGTGCACTGCTGGTAGGAATGCAGTCTGGTGCAGCCACTGTGGAGAACAGTATGGAGTTTCCTCTAAAAATTAAATATTGACCCAGTGATCCCACTTCTAGGAATATATTCTAAGAAACCTGAAACACCGATCAGAAAGAAGGTATGCACCCCTATGTTCCTAGCAGCACAATCTACAATAGCTAAGATCTGGAAACAGTCCAAGTGCCCGTCAGTAGAAGAGTGGATAAAAAGCTGTGGTACATTTATACCAAGGAATACTATCGGGCAATAAAAAAGAAGGATCTCTTGCCCTCAGGCAGCATGGAGGGACCTGGAGAGTATCATGCCAAGTGAAATAAGCCAGTCAGAGAAAGACAAGTATCACATGATCTCACTTATATGTGGAATCTAATGAACAAACTAGATCCAGAAACATAAAAAGCCTGGAACAGACTGAGGCATCTGAGAGGGAAGGTGGGGGTTGGGAGGTGTGTGGGGAGAGATTAACTGGGGAACTTAAATGCGTATTTGCATCGCCCAGGGACACAGACAATAATGTGGTGAAGGCTTTGGGGGGGGGGGGGGGATGGTGAATCAGAGTGAAGGGGGGGTCTATGGGTAAGAGGCACATCTGCAATACTTTCAACAATAAAGATAGATTAAAAATTTTTTTATACCAAACTTAGAACTTACTGTATTTTCTCCCTATTGCAAAAAAAAAAAAGTTTGCTTCCATGATTCTTTTATGGGGTTAAAATATTTTATTAACAGGTAAGCTCTATTAGCTATATGTGCATATATGCTTCAATGTATAAATAAGGCCAATCTCTTCTTTGTCTTGTTTTCACTCCTGTTGCTGAGAAGTGTGCTTTGTGACACGGACTCTCTCAGTCCCCCTGCAACTAAATTGGCTTTTGAATGTGTTGTTCCTGTGATTGTTCGCAGACTGAAGCGAGAGAAGAGCGCCCCGGATGGAGCATCCTGCGAGATGACTTCATGATGGGAGCGTCCATGAAGGACTGGGACAAAGAGAGCGACGGGCCGGATGGCAGCAGTCCGGGCGGGGGAAGTGACTCCGACACATAGTAGGTGTGCAGGAGGCACGGCACATCGCTCTGTTCTCCCCAGAGAAAACTCCTCTGGCTCCGAGAGCCGGGGGACATCGGGACGCCATGTCTAAGGAAGCAGAAGACTTGGGCTTCTCACCTAAACGTCGTTCACGTCACGCGTTCGAACTGTGTATAATTTTAAGCATTTGTAAAAAGAAATGTCCCTCAAAACATTTGTGAAAGGAAATGTTTGCCCCATCACTGGTTTACATGTTGGCCAAGGGTTTTTGCTGTTTTGTCGCAGGTATGGTATTATCAGCATTTCCAGAAATGCAGTGATACTCACCACGAAAATGAACTCATCTTAATGTTTCCCGCCCACAGATCTGTGCATTTGTCATTTGGGGGCAAAGGTTGATGTTTGTTTTGGTGAGTGAGCTATTGAGAAAACATAGGTAGTAAAATTTTAAATTTCTGGTTTGGGGGTGATGCTTTTATTTTTTTAGATATTCTGACAAATATATAACAAACATGTCAAATCTATACTTTTCTATTACTTTTATGTGCTGAGTACTGTATATAAATAATGCCTTAAGATTTATTTTAAGTGTTGATTGTCTTGGCTCTCATGTCATTTCTTAGGAAGCACATGTGACACTTTCCGTGTGTGTGTGTGTGTGTGTGTGTGTGTGTGTGTGTGTGTGTGAGAGAGAGAGAGAGAGAGAGAGTGTTACCTTGAATTCTCTCTCATGACCAGTGAGGTCATAGTTAGCTAACAAGAGTGCCTGTTAACTAAAAGGAGAATGCCAACTAAGACTATCATCATTCAAAAATTTCTGTGAAACTGGGCCTAAGATCTACATTTGTAGGGGAATTGTTCAGTAAATGTGACCTGTTCCCTTTTTTTAAAAAAAGGCCCTGTCCCTTTGTCCATCTTCCCTAATACAGATAGGTCCCTCCGGGTACCCACGCACATACTTGCTCTGTCAAACACCGAAGGAAAACCCTTCCCCAGACTCTGCTAGAGAAGGGATGTTTATATTCTTCAACCCGGTGAGCGAGGCAGGCATTGCATAACGAGTTAAATTAGTCCACGGCCTGGCGTTTGTTATCCTAAAGGAAGGTGCACACCTATGATATCAGGTGATTAAACCAGCAGAGCTCAGATGCATTTTTGTATGTGTTCCAGCCTTTGAACTTGAGGGCCTTATTAAATGATAGGACTGCCATTTGTCAGTGTAATATAAATAAAAGTGAGCAAATAGAAGTAACAGAGGAGGGCTAAATATCCCCTTGTAACTTAACACAGGTGAATATTCAGTTCCATATAACCTAACACATAGGTGAATTTTGGAGAGAAAAAAATATATACTAGAATAACACCTAAATAATATTTTCTCCCCAAAATTAAAAATTACACTTTATTTTATTTTTTTTACTCTTTCTGCATCATACTGAACCTTTGCAAAAATTCTGAATAAAACTGGTAAACAACTTCTCATTATTAAAATGTTTTTGAATATACTCGTATAGTGCTTAGTTTAATTTAGAAAAAGTTGAACAAGATTTTCAAACCGAAGGTAAGGAAAAGAATATCTGCAGATTTCCTTTCAGAATTTATTCCAAAATAAGATTGAGTTGTCACTATAAAAAAATAAATCATGTTAGAGGCTAAGAGAAAATATTTAAGCAAAATGCCACCATATAGGAATATGAATCTAAGGATGAGCATGTTATGTTAGAAACTGTTCCTTTAGGTGGATGGTTTACAAACCTCTACCCTAAGAATCTTAAATTTTTCTGACATCGATTAGATAAGTAATTCTGCATCTAGTTCCTCTTCCTACCTTGTCCTTGAGTTCTCTGAGGGGGGAAATAAGAAAGAACTGCATTTCCATCTCCACCCCTAATTTATCTAAATTTAACAATACTTGATATTATCTTTGGTGACTATTTAGAGTAACAGAGTAATAAAAAGTTATTTTCTTCATTTGTTTACAAGGAACAATGCAAAATAGTAACCAGGCAACTAGTAACTAGAAGCTATCTTCCTTCCTTATCTGAAGGTTTGGGTGGGGTGGAGGGATGAGTGTCCTGTGTAGCATTGTTTAGTAGTATTGGTTATTGTTCTTCAGCATGGAAATCTCCAAGTCTAAGGTAACACCCGTTGTCCAGGGATAACAACAGCCATTTTGATGGTTTAGCACTTGAACTTGGAGCTGAGGCCCTGGGTTTACCTCGAATCCCTCTTAGACCAAGTATTATTCTACTTGAAAAGGACACCTTGGCAACCATTGGCACAGGACAGCTCAGAGGCTCACCTGTAGTGACTCAGTGGGAAGCCTGAGAGGTTACTGGAGGGCAAGTCCCAAGTTCTTCAAAGCATTTAGTTTCTTTTACAACAAGTGGGTGAAAAGGGAGTGTTTGGATTCTGGAAAACCTCCCAGGGCTTTTTAATCACGGTTTTGCACATGTGAATATATTTAATAACACAGTGGCCCTCAACCTGCACTGGCCTGGCGGACAGGAGGAGTAATTATACAGCCATGTGACTACAGGGTGTAGATGTCCTAGCGCAACATGTAATAATACGAGAAGCTCTAAAGTCCCAGTGTGAAGGGCAAGGGAGACGAGCTGAAATACACTGTTGCTCAGGAACCAAGGGAATCCAGAGGCCTAAGAAGATGCCAGAAAGGAATCGTCAAAGAGATACATATTTCTGCAGAAGAGGCAGGAGGGGAGACCCAATATATAAGTTGATACTTTGCATCCTTTGGACAACTTATTTTTTCTCCCTATGTGTATTTGTTTTTTGTTGTTGTACTTGTTGTTAGAGGTGTTTATTAATACCTATGTGTGTCCCTAGTGAAATAGGGGTGGAGGGCACCTCATTTCTCAGTGTCTATTTTTTAAAAAATAAATATTTTTATTGATTTTAGGAAGGGAGAGGGAGAGGGAGAGAGAGACAGAAACATCAATGATGAGGGAGAATAATCATTGGCCAGCTGCCTCCTGCATGCTCCCTACTAGGGATCGAGCCTGCAACCCAAGCATATGCCCTTGGGTGGAATCGAACCCAGGACCCTTCAGTCCAAAGACCAACGCTCTATCCACTGAGCCAAACCCAAACCGGCTAGGGTTCAGTGTCTCTTTAATAAGGACACTAATCCCAGTCATAAAGGCCCCACCCCAAATACCATCATATTGGGGATTAGAGCTTCCACATATAAATTGGAGGAGGAGACAAACTGTTTAAAACAGCAAACTATACATTAAGAAAATTGTTTTAATCCTCACCCAAGGACAGGTTTAGAGAGAGGAATGGAGAGCGAAACATGAATCAGTTGCCTTCCAAGGCCTCCTGCTGACCGGAAATGGAACCCCACCAACTGAACCACGCCAGCCCGGCAGAAATTGTACATTTTTACCTTAGACATGGAGTAACTTTAGTTACCATCGTTTCTCGACTTAAATTTCTTAATAAAACTAAATGAAAGCATTCATCTAGCAATCACTGAGTACCCATTTCAGGAACTGCTAGAATTATTTAAGCAATGATACTATGTAGGGTAAAATAGGGAGGGGAAAAAATATGTATTTACTAGCATAACACCTAAATTTTGGAGGAAAAAAATATGCATATACTACTAGTATAGCACCTAAACACTGTTTTCTCCCCAGAATTAAAAATAACGCTTTATTTTTTTTATTACTCTTCCGGCATCATACTGAACCTTTGCAAAAATTCTGAATAGAACTGGTAAATAACTTCTCATAGTTTACTCCTATAAAAACCAAAAAGTTGAGAAAACGTCATCTCCTTTTTAAAGTCAAATTCCTGCCGTCAGTTCTCACTATGCAGTTTAAATAGTGTGGCCATTGGGATTGATTAACGGGGATAACTTCACATACATTGGTTACCTGCCATGACTTTCAAAATATATTCGTTAAAAGATAACCTGCGATAAGCTATTATAATGGCATCCCAGTTGTGCATTAATAAATATCCTAGTTTAATGAGGCTTGTGAGTAGGTGACTATTTGGTACTCCCTTGATACGTTCCTTTTTAAAAAAAAAAAAAAAATATATATATATATATATATATATATTATTGATTTTTTTACAGAGAGGAAGGGAGAGAGATAGAGCTAGAAACATCAATGAGAGAGAAACATCAATCAGCTGCCTCCTGCACACTCCCCACTGGGGATGTGCCCGCAACCAAGGTACATGCCCTTGACCGGAATCGAACCTGGGACCCTTAAGTCTGCAAACTAATGCTCTATCCACTGAGCCAAACTGGTCAGGATGATACGTTCATTTTTATTGGGGAACACTTTGCAGAGAGAAGCCGGATTCATCCTGCCCTTGCCTTAGAATCACCTGTTAGGGTCAAAGTGACGGATGCTCACGTCCACACGGTACTTGAGTGACAGGTGGCAGGTATGACGAGTGCGAAGACCATTTGAGGTCAATTGGCAGCAAGAGCAAACCTTGAGAGCAGGCGAGAGCGTGACTCCGAGCCTACAAAGGCCCTCTCGCCCCTTTCCCAGGAACACGGGAGCTGAGCTTGGGCCAGCTCGACTCAGGAGTCTCCCCCACTCTCCCTGGGAGCTTATCTGAAACCTGATGGTGCTAATTTGTCCATGAAGAGACTGGGAGGAGGGAGGAAGTTTGAGCGAGGCAGTACTGAGAGCAGCGAGGGATGGTGAACAAAATGCTGAGTGGTGATGAATCGTAATGCAATCCCCCTGCTTTGGACGAAGTGCCTTCCAGAAGGGCTTGATGGTACAGCACATACTTGACATCTTGCTGAGCACACGGAAGATGCAGATTTGGGGGTAGGGGGACCACAGAAAACAGAGCACAGAGGGCATTATTTTGTATTAGCGCAGACAGTTTAAAATGATGTGCATTAGCTAAAGCCGGTATGGCTCAGTGGAAGAGCGTCGGTCTGCGGACTGAAAGGTCCCAGGTTCGATTCCGGTCAGGGGCATGTACATTGGTTGCGGGCACATCCCCAGTAGGGGGTGTGCAGGAGGCAGCTGGTCGATGTTTCTCTCTCATTGACGTTTCTAGCTCTCTATCTCTCTCCCTTCCTCTCTGTAAAAAATCAATAAAATATATTTAAAAAGGAAAAAAATGATGCGCATTAACCACATTCATATAAATGACAGTTTCTCTAACCCCTGAATCATCCTGCATTTCATATATATATATATCAGAGAGGAAGGAGATAGAGAAATATCAATGATGAGAGAGAATCATTGATCTGCTATCTCCTTCACACCCCACACTGGGGATCAAGCCCGCAACCCAGGCATGCGCCTTGACTGGGAGTCAAACCATGACTTCCTGGTTCATAGGTCGATGCTCAACCACCACTGAGCAATATCAGCTGGACTATCCTGTATTTTTTTAAAAATATACTTTATTGATTTTTTACAGAGAGGAAGAGAGAGGGATAGAGTTAGAAACATCGATGAGAGAGAAACATCAATCAGCTGCCTCTTGGACCCCCCCACACTGGGGATGTGCCCGCAACCAAGGTACATGCCCTTGACCGGAATCGAACCTGGGATCCTTCATTCTGCAGGCCG